CTACTGACCTCATCTGAGCTGTCAACAGCAATGGGAAATGCATTGGCAGCTTCCTAGCAGGTTCCTGGGCCCTCCTGATAACCAAGAAGCAGCAGGAATATTTCAGCCCCAGAGGAAGGTGAAAGGCTTAGGAGTAAAAACACAAACAAACAGAAAACCCACAGAGATGCTGGTGTTCAGACAAAATTGGGAGGGAGCTCTGAGAGTGAACAAAAAGAGGTTTATCCTTTTGCTAGGGAGAGACATACTGCAGAGGACTGGCTGTACGGAACTGGATGTGTCCTATTTCCCTGAAAATGGCCCTGGGCAAGAGGGCAAAAACACCTCAGTAGAAAAACGCAGAAATGAAGAACTGGTCACAGAGTCAAGTACCTGACATGTGATGTTACATAAAATCAGATCAGCCTGGTGTGGACAGAGGGCTCCTGACATGACAACACACTCTCAGAGATTTCAACCTTGTAGATCCCCAGAAAATGTCAATTGATCATCACCTGGTGGAGAGTGAACAGAGAAAACATTCTCACAGCAATGAGAAACTTCTCTGTCCTGATACAGGATTCAGCATCCATATCCTGGGACTAAGGGGATGGACTTCAGCTTCAGATGATGGAAAAGTCCTGTATGTTTCCCTAGTCACACTCCCCACTGCTAAAAATGTATTCTTCAATAGTTCTCAGTGGAAGAATTAGCCATCATCCCTTTTGAGTTCACAAAGGACCAACATTTTTCCTCGTCTATTCTAGACAAATGTAAACATCGTGCTTGGAGGGAGCAACCAGGTGGTCAGAGTCTGAGATAGCTTGGTAGCTAATAATGAGCAGAGATGAAGAAACCAAACAGTCCCTCAAGACACTACCCCAGCAGAGAACTGGTGTTATTAAAAGACAATGCTCCTTTCTTCCGCAGGGATTCCTGTAAGTCCTTCTGAGAAAAAGAGGATAAATGAAGAATACATCTTGGCAGCTCTTGGCAGAGTGGCACAAATCAAAACCCAGATGGATGAGACTCTTCCCTGCTTCTCAGGCTACTTGTGGTGGGCAGCTTTTATCTAAAGGCACACCTACCTTGAAAATGGATGTAGATTCATTGCCTAAGGAAGAGCTTAATACACAGGGGCTCATCACAAGGCATCAGAGATTTATGGCATTAATATTGCCCAGGTGATTCCCTGTCTGCGGTGAGCACTGAGCCCAGCCTCTAAGGACAGCAAGAGAGTTAGATGCTCTCTTTATCAGGATTTTGATGGAAGACAGAATTTTTATAGCTTGGGAAGGAGGGAGTGGAACTAATATATCACAGAAGATAAATGTATGCGGCCAATTAAAATAGATATCTAGATGTTCTCACCAAAAAAATGGTACTAGGGCAGTAGAACTGAGGTTCTAGTAAGTTGTAGGATCTGCTCCAACATGGAAAAGGTGAGGAGGAGCATGTGGCCATTTTTTAAGGCTGTGTCCAGCATTTCAGGATCCAGGAGTTTTTAAGAGCTACATCTTGGCATTCCTAATAACACAGAAGAAGGTAAAAAGGGTCATGGTGTACTCATTTGTACAGACCATCTGCCTCTCTCAGGACCTTGCAGTGTTCAGAAGAAGCATTTTGCAGATTTTATTAAAAAATAGGAAGATAGCTGCACAGATAGGGAAATGCGCTCAGTGCCAAGTCCCTTGACTTGCCAGGTCTGAGATGAAGTCCAGACTGACCAAGAAACTATGTTCACATATACATTTTTAATTTTTTTCTTAATATTTTTTAAACAGAGTGGAGCTAAAAGATCAGCAAATTGAGCATTTGCTCAGGATGCAGTTTCCTCCCACACAATAGCATCACCTTATGTGAACAACTTCAAAACAAGCATCCCACCACAGGATAGGCCAATTCAGTCATACCAGGAAGGAAGGATGAACAAAAGGAAAGAATAAAAATTAATGAAGAGGAGGAAAGGGATGACAGAAGTGCCATACAACTAGGATTTTCCCTCTTGATTAACCTTTAAAGAAAAGTGAAAGCAGAAGAAACTACACACAGAAACAGATGCACACAAAGAACAAGGAGAGCAAGCAGTCCCTACACCAACACACTGGCAAATGCAAATTCTGTAAAGCAAAAGAGTTCTGACTCATTCAAATGACTGATGGGAACTGAAAATCATACATTGGGTACTTCTGTTCTGCTTAGACACACGAGCAAAAGAAACGCAGGTTGCAAGTGTCTTAGGCATGCTGTCAAGAAAAGCCCATTTCCAAGTAGGGCACTTGTAATACAGACATCTGATGCAAATAGATGTGCAGAGATAAGGACTCAGAAGGAGAACCAGGAACACATGCACTTTCTTTTCCTGCAGGAAAAGTAATAGATTTGAAAAGCAAATGTGAAAAAACCTCTCTGAACACACAAATTTGGTAAGTGATGAGCATCTAACGCAACTAATCAGACACATGTGCTGATTATCCATAGCAGCAATGATAACAACAGTAAATAGCAATAAATAAACACAAGATTCCCTTCAAAATCCTCATCCTCACATGGTTCTCCAAGTACTAGTCTGGGAGCAGTGTAGGGGAGGGAGAGACATAGTAGTGCCAGGGTCATGAAGCTTGAGCTGTTCAATGTCCCTTATTCCCAGCTCCCCATCCACTGCAATTGGCTCCATTTCAGCTCCTAAAAACCACTGGACTGGAATGGAGCTGGAGGAAAACTCCATCACAGCACTGGGAATCCAGGAACATAGAGCAAAGGTTGGGAGTGCTGCTACTGCTCCATTCTGCTACATAACCATTTCAATTTTTCTATTAGGTTGCCCAAAATGGTCTAGTTTAGTTTGATATTACCAAGCAAGTTTTAACCAAATAACAGTACAAGCAAGAATCAACCTGCAGAGAATGCCAGTGGTAGCTGGATGTGAATCAACTGACCCCAAAAAAGCTATTGCTGGAAGGTGCTCACAATTAAGAGCACCATTAAAAACAACTAAAAGGCAGACATATATTTTTTTTAATCTCTGGAAAAAAAAAACAACAACAACATATTTTTAAAAAATATTCAAGGTTGGAGTGACACTGACCAGATTTAAAAGGAGAGACACCACTTCAAAGTTTTTCTGTCTCCCAGCTTGAGTTAATAGCGAACCCCTAAATAGCAGGCCACTTGCAAGTCCTAAGCCTACTAAAAAGAATTGTACTTTGGATCAAAGAAGGTGTCTGGCACAGACTCAGATCCTGGCCCTCAGAACTGCAGTCATACCACTACGGTGAATTTAAACCCTATCTATAGGCAGCCAATTTAATGAATGCAAAGCATGAAGAACAGAAACAACTTCAAACAGCTGAGCGAACAGCAGTGGTTTGGCCTCAAAATCCTGGTGACAAGGTAACTCTGTAGTGAGGCCTGAAGGTGAGAAGAACAGGGGGTTGCTGCCACTGCACTGCTTAGAGGCAAATAGAAGTGCAGTCCCTCCAGGCACACAGAGAGCAACCCTGGTCCTGAACACAATCCCCTGGATAGGACACGATCAGAAGTTAAAATGACTGTTACCAAGAAGACGGGAAAAGAAGAGACAACAACTGGTTAACAGCATGACTTTGGAGGGTCATTTCCTAAGAATGAGACTATTTTTCAACATCAGCAGCATCTTTCCCCATTATGTCAGACACTGACAATGGTTGTCAATCACTGCATAATTGAGCTGATACTTACTAAAGCAAGTACAGTAGTAGACCGAAAACGCAAGTATTTGGCCGCAGGGAATTCAAAGAATCAAAATGCATTCTTGTCAGAGTCTAAATTAAATCCAAAGGGCAACAGTCCATCAGTAATCTGCAAGTTTCCTAAACCAAAGGTCTGAAGAACCAACCCAGCATCAGCCTGTGTTATCTACATAAATCAGGATAATTTCTTCGCAGCTCAGCCTGGCATATTCAGGCTCCAGGCTATCCAAGAGTGCAGCTGGACTGTTCTTAGCTCTATAAAAATAAAAGATAGTATTTCTTTGATTGAGAAATGCATCTCTTTCCTTCCCATACATACAACGAAAGCAAGCCATCAGATACCAATTGGCACTTTAACTGTCCTCCCCTCTGACATTTAGCCCAGACAGATAAATTCCTAAAGATTCCCCACAGACCCAGGGGGGCTTCTCACTAGGGCTATTAGTAGAAGGATCCAGAAGTCCACAGTTCTGTCTAACAGATGGTAACAATCCATAAACCAACAATCACTGACACAAATATCTAGATTTATTCACAAGGATGAGAATCATAAGCAATGTTTGCTGTGGCCCAGCAAGGCTCCCTAGCAAACGTACTGATCTATACACTGATAAAACCACAAAGATTGGCCCAATTCCAATTCAAGGACTGAAAATGACCAAATACCTTTCTTACAGGGTCAAACAGGAGGTTCCAGGTACCCACTACACCTTTATTTTGCAAAAGGAAAATGATTCAACTAGTATATTGTAAAAGAGAGGAATTATTCCAAAAAAGGTAGCATTACCTAAGAAATTTTAGGAACACATGGCAGATGTGATGGGAGTCAGGATGTGTGAAGGAAATCAACATTGTTCATGGCAGAGAAGACAATTATTTTCTGGAAATATGTTGCTTTTAAGAGAAGGGAGCAAGAGGACATTCCAGTTGGACCTCCTCTACACTTCCTTACCTACCCCAGTGCTTTTCTTTTGTATTAAAAAATGCCTTGAGGAGGGGGCAGCTCACCATCCTAGTGAACATCTCCAGCTCCTACCAATTCATCCAACCCACAGCCACCTCTCCAGAGGAATACTTCTCAAGCACATTAGAAATAAATGTAAATGCATGTGAAACCATCTTCAGCCAGCAGATCTTTTCCCGACGTACTCTAAGCCAAGAGAACACAGTAAAATGCACAGAAAGAGGCTGATGAAAGCAGTCCACATTACCGGGTCTGCCCCATCTCCCAGGAAGACCTGTGCAAACACAAGAGACATGTCCATACCAAGGACAAGGTGTCACACTTACCCAGCTCCCTACAAGGGAGCGCCATGCTCCAGCGGGGCGGCCGGGGATCTCTGCCATGGGGCATGCCGGGGCATCGCAGCACTGTGGCTTCAGCAAACCTAAAACAGGGGGAAAAAAAAAAAAAGAAAAAAAAGAAAAAGGATTTGAGAGCCAAAGTGCCAAAGCCCCTTTCGAAACCAGCAGATGCATCCTTCCAGGCAGCTGCAGCATTGCCTCAGCTTTAAATGCTGCACGCAACATATCATCAAGGTTGACTAACCAAAAAATCGTTTGTTAAAATGCAATTAAAACTGGACGTATAAGTAATTTAGCAGCTACACACACCAGAAAACATCACAAGAGTCTCAAAACCAAACATTTCTAACCCCGTAATGGTGTCCTGCAACAGCTGTTAGCAAACAGACGGTCAGACTTTTATAGCATCAGCTGTCCTTCAGTGTTTGGCCACAAGGCTGAGTTAACATATGCCTGAAGAAACAGTGAACTTTTGTCATTTGCAGTAGTATTTTTCAGCTTTGCTTTACCAAAATCTATTTCCAAGATTCATCCATTTGCAAGTTACTTCTAGCCATTTCAAATAAGACATTATTTCTAAAAGCAAAAGGCCAAAATGAATACTGCCTAATGACTGAAAATGTTGGTAACAGTATGAGTTGAACAATTAATTATGTAGTTAATGCAAGTTAGGTTCATGGTGATGGTACCTTGAAAAAACAAGCATTTTCAAGAGTCCACCAAACAATCTGAATCTACCAAAGTCTCAGTTATAACTATGCAATTTGCCCTTTAACTCACATCTGACAATGGTTTAAGTGACATTTCCCATAGGCCATATTCACAAAGTTTTGCAGGTTGATAATCACAGTCTATTTTCTCTCAAAACTTCAAAACAAAAACATTTTTTTAAGAACACTGTTTAGCAGTGGGGAATCACCAGTTCTGAGCTGGCCACATCTGAAAACCACTGGCTGCATTAGCGAGACTCCAACTATCCAAAGAGAAAGCAAAAGGCAGAAGCCCAGAGCCTCCTTGATTCCATTTCCCAGCAAGATGGAGCAGCAATGGGAGGATGTATCAGCATTGCCAGACACCCATGCCAGGACACACAAGTGGCATTGCTCAGAACAAGCCCAGACAATCCATTAACCAAAACCACAGGCTCACATCTAGAACTCACAGGGCTGATGTCCTTGAATGCACACGGGTCAGAAATAGCAGCCAGAGAGATTGCTGGTTTTATTTCTTCCAAATTGAGAATGACAACATTGCTTATTTAAACATGAATGCAGTCCATACAATCACAACTGACAAAATCAAAATCCTTTGCTGTACTTGAAGAAATTAGGTTAATTTTCCACTGCAAGTTTCAGAGAGATTACTGATAAAAAATAAAATAATAATAATAATAAAAATCATACAGAATATTCTTTACCCAAAGATTACTCCAGTTTGAAGAATGATCTGTGTTCTTCTCATACAAAACAGAAGAGGCTGAATTGCTTGAACACAAAAGATAACTCGAATTCAACCACAGAATTGTGCCCAGCAACTCTGTAATAATTGCATACAGAACATAAACATGCTTTGTTGAGAACTCATAATATCTAATCAGCTATAATTGTAAATTTATTCTCCATTTGTAAATTACCAAGGGATCTAACTAAAGAACAGGGGATGTAAAATAATATCCTAGCTGGGATATTTTATTAACACGTAAACCTCTACCCACCCCTCTCCTAATGCCTGCAAGGCTATTCTGCTGCTGAAATTCTTTTAATTGTTAGCTTCTCTTTGAAGGTATTTCAACTATAATGCGAGCAAAGCTCTAATGAATTCTCAGTGCTGTACTATTTTTCCAAACAGTTTCTATATCATCTACAAATTTGGATGTTGAGATATAGTTTTTCTGCCCACACACATTTCTGTTTCTGAGGAATGTCAATATTTTCACCAAGTGACATGCCTGGAAGTTTCTAAACTAACTAACTAAATACTTCCTATGGGTTTGTTATTTTATTGCTTGAACTTGTTTTAGTGCTTAGCCCATCTTTCTCCTCTCCACCTGCCCAGCTCAAGCAGCCCTGCTAAGCCATGCAGCTCCCCCAGTGAGCACAGCTTCTGGAGAACAGGATCCAGCTACCCAATGCAGTTAAAGTCTCTCCTCTGCAAGGCTCCTCCCTTGAACAAGCACATTTGCTAACTCACATCCCCTTTCAAACTCATCTCTAACTCCTGTTTTTCAGACTCACACGTTTCTACCCCCATTCTGAACTCCCAAACCACGTCCCATAACTGCAGACGTGCAGCAAAGGAAAACCTAAGTCACCTGGGTCTGTATGCTGAGCAGCCCAAACCCAAATATAGTTTATAGGGGGAACAATGAAAGAATAGAAGCAAGAGATACTGGCCTGCCTTATAAATGGATGTTGTAGGTTTGGGAAGGTTTTGTTTGTTTGTTTGTTTTTTAAGGTTATCATAAATAAGCTTAGTCGAGGCCAGCAGTCAAGTGAACCAATACCCCACATACACCAGCCCTATTGCAAGAGCCACACCAAGCTCACTGAATATACAAAGGCAAAGGAGGAGAAAAGTGAGGGATTTGCCCTATTCCTCTGCATCCTGACTAATCAACTTAGGGAAGGGACAATAATATTTGTTAATGAATTAAGTCGTAATTAGCAGTCTTGTTGACCAGGTATTCACCTTGTGTCCTAACAAAAAAAAAAAAAATTTTTTTTTCTTTTTCTTACAACCTGAAAATGTTATGACAAAATGGAAGAGAAGGAAGGAAGGAAGTGTCACTTTTCTGAAAATAACAACTGACAATTTTATACAATAAGGAAATGCTATTTTATAGTAACAAGTGCAGTATCAGCAATACAGTAAAGTTACCATATTAACACTGACAGAGATTATCTCTGTTCTCCATTAATCTGCATTCTTTACAGATGGTTATTTATGAAAATTAAGCATGAAGCTGAAAGGTTATCTATGGCCATATTAGCAAACATCTGCTTGTGATTCTGATTTCATGTTTGCATGCTATTCTTGGAAAAGCATGCATTTTCGAGAAGTACCAGATGTGACCGAGTGTTCTTAATCGTAAAATATTCATTTTAGAAAGATAAAAGTTCATTGAAAGAGCAAGGCCAGGAAAGAAATCATATTCTCTGAACACAACCACAGTGCCTGCTTTTTACCCCTATTGCCACTGCATACTCCAGGGGAAAAGCATTTCTGAAGAGGAAAAAAAGCAGTTTATTTAGTGTGCCACTACAGATGATTACTCTTCATTTTTAAATATGAAACATTGAAAGGAATAAACATGAACTCAGTTTCAACTTTAAAGCAGTACATTGCATGAGGTGAATCATCTATTTGCCTTCCTGCTGTGGGATTTGCACAGGAGCCTGCAGCATCAGGTGTCGGGAGGTCGAGCAGCACGCAACCTTCAGCAAGGTGACTTTTGGGACCTTGACTTCCTCCCAGGTGACTTCACCAAGATCCCATGCTTCCCACAACAAAGGAAAGAAGGTTAATTTGGGGCTGGGAAGGTGCTGCAGGCCACAAGCTCTCGAGGGGAGCTATATGAGGAAACTGACTCAGATTGAACAATTGGTTTAATTCTTTTGGAGCCTCACTATGGTTAACCTAGTTCCTAAAAAAGTTCCTGATCCTTCAAAATATTTGTTCTTTACATTTGACAGCCATGCTCTTCAAGCAAATAATACTCTTAATCCAAAATAAATTTGTAGATAATGGTCAACATGATTTCACTTTGTATTATAACAGAAATACGTATGTAATCATATAGTTCCATATATACACATAGAGAGATGAGTACATATACACACACATATATATATATGTTCTGTTTATGAAGTATCACAGGCTCCTTTCTTGGCTGAGACAGCACTTCTGAAATTAAAGGAAAAAGTGTAATAATAAAATGTCAGATTGAGGGATTATGAGGATGGCCACCAACACTTATTGCCCTGATTTGGAGATTTTCTTACGAAGCAGTATTTTAAATAAGTGGTTCTGAATAACAACAAAAAATAAATAAATAAATAAACACCTTGGCTACAACCCAAGCACCACCCCCGGTGGTTCTGAATGCTTCTGCTGGCTTTGAAAGTTCTTCTGGTGAAGCCCTCATGCAAAACTCTGTGTCACACTTCACTTGCATTCCTTGTAAGTTTTCAAGGAACGTAATACCACATAAAGATTCAAGGGCATTTACTGAAGTAGCCCAGCTTTCCCATATACTACATCGCAGTAGAATGTTGTGCTCCCAACCGTATCTGCAGTCTGCAGTTCTTCTAGCTTTTTTTTTTTAATTATTTCATAGATTTAATTTAATCCCAGGCTGGCTAAATGACAACTCTCCTAACATTTAAAGTGAAACTACAGGTGACAATGGCAGATGTGCATTATTAATTGACACTGTGCATACATCCTTCTATGTGATGAACACTGATTATCACAAATCCTGAGTATTAAAAAAAAGTCATAATTTATCTCTTTACCTATGAAAAAGGAGTTTGATCTGGAAGGCTACTGTTTCTCAGAATATCAATTTAGATCCTTTTCACGTTCTAATGGTTTGGGACATTCACTGAATACATGATTCATATTTGAAGATTTCTCCATTAGAGAAAAATATTTCTTCAACAAGTAAAATTCTCATATTATATGGCTCCTTGTGCTGGAGCTTCAAGACTACAAAGACAATAAGCCTCACAGTAAGACTGAGTTAAATTCTGTATTCTGAATCTCCACTGTCATTTTTTAAATTAAACTATTCATATGGAAAATACACATTGCCACATTTTCAATTTATAATACAAGTATTTTTATTACTCTCACTGTGTATTTGATTCCCATCTAAAATATTCACCTTCAAGTTCATATGGAATCCAGAAACTTTTCCTCTTGAATATTTATCAAGCTATTTTTAATACTGCTTCTCCTACCCAACTAACACACCTTTGGTAGGAAACAGAGATCCTAACAACCTCATCGGTTCTTAGATCATAGAACTTCTTGATGTGGTCAACAACTATATGCATTAGAGACACAAGTTTCATTTCAAATA